CTAGTGATTCTATGATTCTAGTTTGAGCTTTTTTGTATTCTTCAGGACTCTCTGGTTGGCATGAGAATAATACCTGATTCTGTAAGATTAGTGTGTTTACATAAGTAGAAATGTAGTAGGAAATATTTTCCATGTAAGTTGATGGAGAAATTCTATTGGTTCTCTTGACACTTACCTCTTGCTACAAATAAATCTCTGTGCTTCTTTGTCTTTAGTTCATCCATTAAGACTAGAAAAAATCCAGTCTGGTAGTGTGATTTAACCATCTGAATAGCACAGGCTGTTGAACTTCCCTGTATTAATTTATTTGAATTTGTTCCCATGCTGAAACTTTCAGTGATGGACAATCCATTGCATCCCTAATGGATTACTTTATCCTTCAGACTAGTTCTTGTGATAAGTTAATTTACATCTGCTGTAAAATATAACTGAATTTGTATTTTTCAGCCAGGAGAAGTTAACTCTAAGAAATGACTCTCCATCTATGACCCAGCATTTAAGACTGTTGATAAGAGGCCAGGATCAAGACTGCTTTCAGGTAACCGTCAGGAACGTTTCTTTAGTGTTTGACAAGTATCAGAATACATTTGTAATAAAAATGTCTTTGCCTTGAAGGGTTGTTCCTGTCAGCGACTAGCAGACTGTGTATTTGCTCTGAGGACGTGGTAGCAGAGCTTAAGCTACACTGGCGGCCTTAGGGAGACCTGAAGCCACAAAAGTGCTGCAGCAAATTGGAGTTTCGTTTACAGCCCTTTGAGCTGCTGTAGCACAACTGGAATACAGTGTCAGTGGCACTTGCAGGAGGGATTTCAGACCTCACTCCAGGGGACTCAGTGTACATGAGGGAGGGGAAAAAACCCTGCAATTAGCTTTAGGGAATTACCATAAATAGAGGTGTTTTGCTGTGTAGCCTGCATGCATTTATATCCCCCTCTTTTCCTCAGATGGTCAGATTCAATATATGAAATCTTCAACTGAGAGAATTAATGTAGTGCTGGTTAAGTTCAGCCTTACCATGTTGTGCATTGAAAGCGAAAAACCTCTGTGGCCTAAACAGAGAGGCCTCAATATGCTCATTGTGAGAATGTAGATTGTCCTGAGCTTGGTCTTTTCTGTTGCGTATCAAGCATTGCCACCTTAAATATGTGCCGTTGTCAACTGAGTTAATCCAGGTTTTGAAGAAGGTAATTTTGGGTTAGCAGGCAAGTCGTCTTATTACTGTGTTTTTCTTACTGTAGTCACTTCTGATGTCTTTGTTTTTTACAGCTGCAGAGTATATTCGGATCAGAAGAACGCTTAACTAGTAATTGGGAACTCAAAATCCGTCCCAAAGAAGATACTAACATATACTTGATGTTTGCACCTACTCGAATAACTTGCTTCTTTGCAAAGCTGGAAATCAAACAGCTGGGGATTCGATCACAGCCAGGAATTAAGTTTACTGTAAGAGTCCCAACCTAACTTCTAATAATTTTAAACGTACATTTTTTTGGTAATTATTTTAAATCTAGCACCGAGTAGCAGTTTCTGTTGAAGTTGAAACTTTTCAGGGTACACACCATGCATACCTGTGTACTTGTTTAAAATTGTTCGGGCACTAAATTTGGCAGTTTGAACATTAGCCTTGACTTTGCATGCATTTTCCCCTCCCCCTTGCGAAGAAAGGAAGATTTTTATGTTCTGTGTTAAAAGTAGCCCATGATTTTAACTGTAGAACTGTCAAAAAAGATCTGAACTTGTCTTGTTTCATAGGTAGACCTTAAATTAATTTTCAATAAAAACATGAAACAGTTGGAATAAGCTTAGACTTTTTTTTTTTCTTGCAAAGTCTTTTCAGTTCACATTTTGAGCATTTTCATTTGTCTTTCTGTAACTCTTTATATAGTTGACCATAGCTGTACAGGAGTTTTAGTAAGAATGTAGCTTTCATGTGAAGTACTTTTTTTTGATGATTTTTGTCTTTTCCCCAGATACCATTGTCCGGCTATGGAGGAACAAGCAATATAACTTTAGAAAATGTTAAAAAACTGTCAGATAGTTACATGGTAACACTGGATGGATTGTTGTCTGCAAGAGTAAGGAAAGCTGCTTTCCACATCCGAAATACAGGCTCTCGGGCTGCCTATGTTAAAGCAGTGTGCTTTGCCAACCTACAGACAAAAACAGTTATGGATCCTCAGGTGATGGTGGTATCTCCAGAAAAGTTTGTACTGAGAGAGGGAACACATGAAGTAAGTATAATACCTGACACTGAGGCAATTTTATTAATTTAAATTAAAATAAATGTGATAAATGAGAGTGTGTGACTGGTTCTTTATTAAAATCTCACTTGTGTTAAATCCTGTTTGGCTTGTATTGCAGTAATTTGTTGACTTATATTCTAAATATTAATACTGACAATAAGTTTTCTTTCTGTGTTGTTTATTATATCAGGTGATTACTATAACATGGAATCCAATGGAAAAGGAAAAGAACTTGCATAAAACAAACACATTGGTATCAACAGTGTGTTTTTTTTGTGGAGATGAAGTTTCTAGGCAGCAGTATCGTAGGTAAGATGTACTTTGCTCTTGTAACTGGGGCAGATATTGAATAAAAAGTGAAAACTAGAGGTGTATGCTACCATGAGTGTGGTTTTAACATGCTTCCAAAATAGCAAGAACAAACCAAAAGGCATTGATGATATGGAGAGATCTAGAAAGTCTTAATATCTGGTAGGTTGTTAGTCAGGGGTTTGGTTTGTTTACCTGTGGTATTGTTCACACACTGTAACTACAACCCTAGTTAGGGGGTTATCTTCTTTTTACATTCTTGACTTTGAGTGTGTTGGGTTTGGGGAAAATGCTTGCTTTTTTTTCATTAGAAGAGAGTTGTGTCATATCTTGGTGTCTCTTTCCCAATATATGTAGCTACATTTTTAAAGAAAAGGCTCACGAAAGGCGTAGTACTGAAATTCACTAGTATTAAGTTTTGAATAAGATTCACATCTGCGTTTGCTGAATTCTGTAGGCTGAAACAGAGCAGTTGTGTATGTGAGAGGAATAATAGCCACGTATGCTCATAACACTGATGGGATCTGCAGAATGTATCTGACTGAGCTTAAGTAGAGGCTGTGTTACTGTGCATTTCAGTTTGCGTAACTCAAATGTACAAAAATCCTTTTAGTGACAGATGTTAAGAATAGGCAGAGATGCTGATGATCATAATTCAGTGCAAACTGTTAGAATGGCAGTAGGTGACTATTGCTTTTAAATGTCGTGAAGGTCACTGTATTTCTTGTTATCCGAATAAAGTATTAAACAAAGCTGAATTTAACTGTGTGACTTTGAATAAAAAGCTAATGGAATAGCTGCGTTTGTGACCTTCCTGATAGCAAATTGGCTTTTCTTGGATATCTTAAAAGGTGCTTGTTACTGATTTTTTTTTTTTTTTTGGTATGAACTCTTTTGTCTGAGGCAATGCTCATTATCATTGAATCCTTCTCAAAGGGCCAAAATAGACTTAGGTAAAAGTTTTGATCTACTGATCAACAGAAAACCCACTGAGAAGCTAAAAAATTTTTTTGTTCAGCCTCTGGTCACTGGTGAGTGAGTGAAATGATTGGCTGCTGTTTTTATTAGTCAGCAGGTATGGCATTTGGTACTTGAACAGGGTCACCTAGTTGGCTGTTTCTTGGTAGGAGCATCTCTGAAGTATCCCTCGATAATTAGAGAGGTGTTTATTTCTTGAAGTGCCCGAGTACTGGAAGCCGGTCAAACCCCAATCTGTAGTGGTGTGCCAGAATGGGAACATGATTTGGGATTTAGGGGCAGGAATGTGAAATGAGTAACTTGCCTAGTCTGCCAACTTGTGCCTCAAGGTTGTTACTCCAAAAATATACGTAGTCAGTAGCCTGGTAAGTAGCTTAGACCTGAGAATTAGTAGTGCTGAGGTATTCTTTCCACCTCCACAGCTGTGACCCTTTCTGAGTGCCAGGTTTCCTCTTACTGACCTGCAGCTTCCCTTTTTTCCCCAGGGCTATTTATATCCCTATGCCTCTTAGCCTTTTCTGTCCTATTGGCAGTCATGTTCCTTGGCTCCATGTTCCTGCTCTTGGCTGGCACCTGCTGCCACTCTGCCATTGACTAGTCAATCTTTCCCCTCAAAAGGCTTCCACTTGTGTTCAAAATAGCATTCATCTGCTTCCTGTGGTGATAGAAAAATCACTCAGGTGCCTGATGTACTTGTAAGAAATGGAGGTAGGTGTGACTGACAGCAGAGAACAAGGTTCTTGGAGAGTGTATGGTAGCCATTATTTCAGTGCTTCCTTTTACTGTGCGGTGGTAGAGCGGGTATTTCTTTAACCATTTTAAGATTATGAAAAGTTTTAAACAAATGCTTACAGATTTGTATTCAAGAAATGATAAAGTTAAAATTATGCTGGATTCTTGCCAATCTTATCAATCTTTTCAAGGTTTGTTTCCAATACTTTGTGTAATTTAATGACTTGTTTCCTTATCTTTGACAGAGCTATGATGTATAAACCTGAGGTAGAAAAACACATAATCCCAGAAAACAGCGTACTGAGAAACATTGTGTTTGATGAAGAATTTCAAGGGGAGCAGCTCGTGACAGAAGGTAGGCCTTTGTTAAAAGGAAAATGTAAAACTTATTTTCAGGTGACAAAAATAGGCTTTTAGACTTGAGTCCTACTTATTTTTCCACTATTTCTTTTTTTATAAATGTAAAAGCAAAAATCTCAGTTTGGATGGATCTTGCTTCTTCATTCAATGCCTGTCTATTTAAACAATTTACTGTAGTTATAGTGGAATGAGCTTCCAGTGTATGAAAGTCATAGCATGAAAAATGCTCAGTGTATTTGGAGAGTGTTTGCCTTAAATTGAGAAAGATACAGATTCTCATATGCATTTGTTATATGTGAAAATTGTCAACTTTGCTGACATAAAAACTTGTATTTCCCTTCCCAAATTAAATAACTTCATATTGTTTTGTACACCTCCTTGTGTTAGCAAGGAATTTATTAAAAAAGAATGAGGTATACTGTAAAGGTGTCCTCACCCACCCCTCACTGCCTCAAAACTCCCAAACCACCAAAAAACAACCCCACCCCCTAAAACAGTTAAACCTCATGAGTGTACAAGTAGCAATTAGAAAAGTGAACTAGGTTATTCTTACTCATTTTAATGACGAGAGAAACTTCAAGCCCTTTCTTTACCTTCGTGTCACCTAGTGGTGTCCCGTGTGAATAGTACACTCTTGCTTTACACAGATTAGAGTTCACTCTCTCTTCAGTGGGAATATCCGCAGGCTTTTTTTATTACATGTTCCTGTAAGTCAGGTACTTTGCAGGAACTATTAGTAGTGCCTAGAATTAAGAAATCTGTTTTCTTATTTCTTCTGTAAGGTACAACCTTTTAGGTGAAAAGTTATTTTTTTTTTGCCATCTAAATGCTTTTTTTACTTTTAAAGAGTGTGCTTAAAAAAGAAAAAAAAGGGTCAAAGAATCCAATATCTTGGCTATAAGAATTGCTTTTAACATAAATTTTGATCCCTAGACTCTTTGGGTCTCCATTACTCAACGTCTTAATCCACTGAGGTATTTGAAATTAGCATTTCTTAATACTTTTTTAATTTGTATTAATACTAGTTCTTCAATTAATAGTTGATAATTAATTCTTCATTAATAGTATTTGAAACGGTATTGAGAAATTAGTGTTTGGTGAAAAACTGACACCACACTATTTCAATCTGCTCACTTGGTGCATGTGTGGTGTGGTCCAGGGCCAGCAGCTGGAGGGATCCAGGCTGGATGTGTCTCTGCTCTCAGTAATGAGCCTTCCTCCTCATCAGCCAGAGAGGGGACAGAATGAGGCCACTGGTGCTGTCTGTGCGAGTGCTGGGTGCTGTCTGGAGTGGTCTGTGAGGTTGACACTGTGTGTGCACATGTCCGGGGGTGCTTACTGGGAACGTGGGCTCAGCCTTGCTCCTGGTGGGATCCATGGCAGCCTCACCTCTCTGAGGCGGCCAGATTCAGTTACTCCCGAACACTCCTGTGCTGTGCTGCACTCTCAAACATCTTTCACCTGTTGGGCTGATATATTCCTGGTCACCAAGGGATGCTTCATTTACGGGTTAAACAGAGGCAGTCATCCTTGATATTTAGCATCTAGCAACTTTTTATTCTAAAGCAGTCCAAGATATTTCTGCGATTTCTGTACTTGGGTCATCAAAACAAATTGAGTTTCCATTGCGTATTAGCATCTTGTCTATATATGGATGTCCTGTTAAAAGTTGGGAAGCAATTCTGATCAGGTATCCCTCACAAAATCATCTTAAGCATTTCTAGGTATCATGTGACGTACCTCAGTGTAACTTCAGGATCTAAGCCTTTGCATAAAGTTGCTTGCTGAGATTGTGAAGATGGCACCATCATGCTGTTGCATGCTGTAATTTGGGTCTGACGCTTTTGGGTCCAGAATTGTGTGCGCTCCGGTCTTGGCATTCCAAGTTATCTTAATGATATAACGAACTAGCTGTTTTGATATTTTAAGTTGTTGAAAATGACATAGGTTGTATGTGTTAAGTGTTTTAATAGGATATTTGAAAATGGGGATATCCCAAACTGAATGGAATTCAGCTGGGGAGTGTGGGTGGGATTAAAAGAAATTTATGGTGGAAATAATGGTCCTCATAAAAAAGAATGTATTTCCATACTGAATTTTGCTATATATATATGACAGAATAAATAAATAATTTATTCCAAAAAAGCACATTCTGCTAGACATTCTTTTGCAGGACTTAGCTTTGTTAACAAGTTTCTGGATTTGTGTAAACTCCTAACTGAAAGCATTTCTATGACAGATGTTGCGCTGTCTTATCTGCAGCTTATTCCTGACCCTTTGAGTATTTACAGGTATAATGAATTAAATAACGAAGTGTTAGATTGAATCGAGTGAGTAATTGAAAAATAGCTTCTCTCAAGTTGAATGTTTCTGTGAAACCTTAATAATGCATTAATCTTACTTGTCAGGGTGAAAAAAGTAAAATTAACTTTAACTTGGCATAGAATCAGATTAGTATCTAACATTTGTATAAAGGTGGAAAATATCTATCTTACAATTAAAAAGTTAAAATTGGTGTTTATTTAGTTTTATGTTCCATCTCACGTTAATGTTGCTTTATGCCTGATAACTGAACTTTCAGGAAGGAGTTTTTTGAATAACCTAGAGTGTCTCAACCAACAGATTATTAACTAGGTCTATATGCTAAATCGCGGTTGTATAATTTCTTAGTATTATAGAAGTGTTCTTATTAGAATTACTCTATTGCTTTCATTTATAGTATGTGATATCCCACGGAGGACAAATGATATCCATCTTTTCTACGCAAATATGCGAAAGGTTATCCTTTCTGTGGTTGGCTATTCCACTTTTTATCGGGATGGATTTCAGCAGGCTCCTGGATGTCATTTGGAGTTGGATAGGTAATGTAACTCTAAAGCTGTCAAATAATGCCTAACTGAAGTGCATCTCCTTTTATCGAAGACTTTTTGATGTCAGTAATGCAAGTTGACTTGCTTTACAAGTGAAAGGTCTGGCTCTATAATGAGAATGGCTCCAATGAATATCTAGGTGGCTTTTCTACTGTTTTTTCTCTGTATAGTCTGTTTAAGCTGTTACTACAACTGTAAAGTATTCTCTCAGGTGATACCACTGACTTTATCTGCAACTTCCTATCCTTCATCTGAAGGAACTGGATTTTTTCCATAGGCACTTCCAAAGTGCATTTGTTTCTGTAGTCCTGATAGGACTACCACCACTTCATTCCTTGTAATGAATTTTTAATGTCTGGGATGCAAACAGAGGCATATTACGAAGGCTTAGTGGCCTTTTCGTTGTCCAGCCCAAATGCCAGCCTTTCCCTGTAGTGTGTACTCATTAAAAGAATCATCAGTGCTGAGGCTCTCCCCACCCCTGTCACTCCCTTGAGTCAAGTGGTCCATTACTGGGAGGATTTCTTTGGAGGACTGGCAGAGACCTGGCCTTTAAAAAGGACGTGTCACTTTTGTTTAGACAGGTTGCTGTGGCATTTGGAGCCCTGAAAAGGGAAAGAAAGGGCTAAATCCTGTACGAGTTCTAAGATAGCGTAGCATGAAACCAAAATAAAGATGGGTTAACTTTAACACTCTAAGGACTGTATTTCCATAGGTTGTTTCTTGAGTCTTCCATGTTTTTTCTTCTCAAGATCCCATTGCATAGGTGACGAAAGGGTCCTGCCTAGTCCTGTTGTGTGCGTATGCAGAAGTTGTCGGAAGTGCTGGTACCTGTTAAACTGCAGATGCTGAACACGTTGGGAGACGTGGCAGATATGTTGGCTGGCAAGGTGTTTGTCAGGCATAGTGGGATTGTGAAGCTAGAGGTTGGAAACAAGTATCTGCAGCAGCAAGCAGGACACTGCTCTTATTTGGTGGTTGCTGTTTGTTTTTTCCAACACTTCTAGATCTGAGTTTATTCCTTAGCTAAGCATCATGAGGATCTTCATTTTCTGAGTAGGCTTTAATTCTTAGATGAGATCTGAGTGTGTTAACTACTAATCTGACTGTTAGGAAATTCCATGTCAAGGAATTGCGTGTATCACATGCCTTCCTGGTTCCATTGCTATTGTAAGGGATGAATTCTCACAGGTATTAGTTCAGCTGTCCTGAACTGATTCAGGATTCTCAGAATCATTAAAAGTAGAAGTGGAAATAATAGGAAGGGCTGTATGTTTGCACAATGTTGTATGGAGCAGAAGCTAACCTGTGTTTTTTTGTTAACTGTTGATTTCTGCTTTTATTTTAGTGTTTAAAACCAAACTTCTTGTGAGTTAAGCTTTTAACTGAAGAAAGTATGCTGAATCCTAAAATAATAGCTTCCTGGCTTTCAGATATGAGCTTATCTGCCATGTATTTTTGCAAGCAAAGGTGTGAAAGGCCAAGCCATGAAGATGATGAAGGGATTGGAGCGTCTGTTTTGCAAGGACAGACCAAGAGCTGGGCTTGTCTAGTGTTGAGCAGAGAAGGCCTGAATTGAATTAAATTGAAGGCCCAAGTAAAGAACACTATATTTCAGTACTAAATTTTGAGAAATACTAAGAGTAGGCTAATATAATTACTCATGTTATTTTTATTACTACTTTTGCTTAATGCAGTCTTAATTTTCAGGTTTGAGAACTCTGTCAGACATATCAATGCAAGTTTGGATGTTCTTCCTGTTAAAGGACCTCAGGGTCCTCCATTACCTGTAAAAACTGATGATCTGGTTCAGAACAAAACAGATGCTCAACAGACTTGGGCTGTTAAACCTGAGTACTTGACTTTGACATGTCCTTCTATCAGTAAGTATTTTTTGAAGTTGTTAAAATCACCATTCCAGTAGCAAAATAACTGTACTGCATACTGCATTTGTAGTTACTTTGTGTTCGTAAATATCACTTGGTCAATCATCTTGCTGCAATAGTTTTACATCTAAACAGCAAACTTGGTTTTGAACACAGTTTTGGTTAAACTGTCTTCGTTAGTGTGCTCTGTTGTGTAAATGTATAATATGCACTTCATACCTGTGAAGATTTTAAAGCATTGCGAAGGTAAAAACGTGACAGAAAATGCTTGATCGCAATTGGTGCCTCTCTCAATCTTGGGCACTTGTGTGAATTTTTGTATCTGTTAGCTTTTTATTGCTTTTTTTTGTATTACAGGTGGAACAGCAGACACTGGTCACGTACAAATTGTCAACTATTCTAACAGGATGTTGTCATTTGAACTTTCATGGCCAGCTCACTGCCTTACTATAACCCCACAACATGGAGCTCTTGAACCAGAGTAAGTTTCCTTTTCATAGGTTTCCTCCGGGTGTGAAAGTGTGGTGAGATTTTGGAGCAATTTATTTTTAGTTGGTTTAGTTATTTGGTTAATTTAGGAATTTCAGTTAGGTTTTAGGAATTTTAGTTTGTTTCTTTCTGTCAGCTAATATGCAAATTTAGATTTTACATTTTATATAATTTTAAATATATTTGAAATATAACTTTTACATTAATCCTTATAGATTAAGGATTCTGTATAGGGGGAATGTTCTTTTACCACCACCCAAGTTACCTGAAAGCCAGGAGTTTTTTGTGCCTGGAAATACTTTTATTGTTGCATAATTTTCCACGAGCTGAATGGTCAACCCAGCTGAAGTTTTAAAAATCTCCTTTCACAATAGTTTTTTTAATTTAAAAACGACCTGTATGTTTAAAACCAAAAAGGACTCCTCCCTGCCCCATGCCATCTGTCACCTCCACCCTCAGAAACCAAGAAATCTAAACTCAACAGTTCTTAGCGAATGCTTCTCTTCTGGGGACTTCACATTTTCTTTTGCAAGTGTGCTGATATTCATCAGAACTTGGTGGTGGATTTTTTACGTTCTGACAAAACTGGGTTTTGCCACTCAACCTGTGGCTTCTTGATATCTATAGGTATGCTTATCTGTGGGAATGTCAGGTTGCCTATGTCACCATGAGCAGGGTTTTGGAACAGTAGTCGTAATATCACTCTGTGTGTGTGTGAGAGACTTCTCAGGGATGTCAGCAGTGACTTTCACAATCAAATGCTTGAAAGTTCTGACTACTCTCAGTTCTGAATTTCTAGTTTTTAAGGACAGTTCAGAAAGGCTTTCAAGACCCTGTTATTAAACTGTTTTCATCTTAGAAAAAAGTCACATTTTCCACAATAAATAGGTTTTACTTTGAGTTTTATTTGCGTAGTTGCTTTAACGTTGTAGGTGTTGGCCCATAGCAGATACTTTTGAGTCCTGCATCACTGGGCAGGATGTGATACGTTTGAACACTGAATTCCATATTTGTGTACGTGTAAATTCTTGGGTGTATTGTTGGGAAACTTTTTGTTGCTAGAGAGGACAAAATAAAGAGGGTTTGCTGGAAGGGCTAGGATATTTGCCACTCCTTGCAGATTCCATCAGTGCCGAGAAGAGCAGTTTAAAAAAGAGAACAATGAACAACTTGCAAGTAGCTGTGAAAGTAAGGACTTCGTGAGACTCAGGACTGTCTGTGGAATGATTTCTTAAAAACAAGGAATAGAAGGCTTTCTGCAAGCAATTTTCTTTCACTGCATAATTTTAAATGTGTTCCTTTCACTGGGGAAGACTGAGCTGAAATCTTGTTTTGGTTCCAAGTAAGCAGTCTGGATCAAGAGCAGAGGCCTGCAAGTAGGAAACAGACCTGTGGGAACAGCTGACTTCAGCACAGCAAGTTGATCTGGCCAGCTTCCTGCTTTCCGGGCCCATCTCCCTGCAGTGCCAAGGGCAGTCATCCTGTCAGAACAGGAGTCAGCCAGAATCTTTTATACACTATGCACTGTGATGGCTGGACCAGACAGAATTCTTGAGCTGACTTAGGCCAGGAAAGGAGGTCTGATTTCTCAGTGATGGTCAGAGAAGGTCCTAAGATCAAGGACTGACTGCCTTGCTAGAGCAAGCAGACCACACCTTGTTTCACCTTGACTAAACCCCTTAAGTTCCATGGAATGAGGCAACCTGCCTGAATGTGGCATGATAATGTCCTGAGTCCCTACTGAATTTTGGTAGCATTCCAAGAGGTTTTCTCACGGAGACTAACTGAAACTAGTGTCTGGCACATTGCTGTGCCTCTGTGTTGGGAGTATTGTTCAGTTCTGTGAAAAGACTTGCACTTCTGTAGCAGGGACTGTTGGAATCTCCAAAGGGTGCAAGAGCTGCCTTTGGAAAGTGTTTCTTCCCTTGGCTGTGCTGCTTCCCATGGCAATGGAAGTACTAAGAGATGGTGGCTTTAGGTTGCGTATGACTCTTCTGAGACACACGGGGTTCATGACCCCATGCAAGTTGGATTTGCATGAGAAGTTTGCAGTAAATGTCAAAGATAAGCTGGTAGGAGCAAAGACTCCTGGTGGAATGGGTTGTGATAACGCATAGCGTGTGATCATCTTCACTTACTTGCTATCTTAAAAGTGCATCCCTTTTTTGTGAGTGGGGGAGCTAGTGAGATCCATTGTAGATACTCATTCTGACAGTCGTGTTAATTTTTTTTTTCTCTCTTTTATTAGGAGCAGTACACTAATTCTGGTGAGTCCTAATCCATCACTTGCCACAAAGCCTTCATTAATTCCTTGGAGTGGCCTAGTCTATATCCATTGTGATAATGGACAAAAGGTACATGGCTTGCTTGAGAGTTGGGATGGCAACTGTTTATTTTACTCTGCTGGATAAGGTCTAGTAATGTTGCTAAAACCTTGTAGGTATGAGACAGCAGTTCTGTCTGCTTCCGCTATTGTAAGTTGTGAAGTTCTCTTTTAAGAAAGAAAAACCCAAGCCCAGAAACACAGTTAGGACGCTGTTCTGCAAACTGAGATTCTCAGTTCATTGTTCTCTGAAGAAATACTATGATGTGAACACTTAGGCTGAATTGCCAAGAAAATTGCATCTGTATACCCACTATTGCCTTATGCATAATTTTCTAGAAAAGCTAAATATCTGTTTACACATGCATATATGAAAATAGTCTATATAAAACTTTAAATAAAAGAAGTCAAAGGAGGTTACTAGATAAGTCACCACAGCAACTTTTGAGCTCCTGTAAGGTTAAACTTAAGCTTATGGCTGCGAGTCTGTGATAAAGAATGTCTAGAACAGGTTCTTGCTCTTCATGCATCTTAATCTAAGACTTTTCCCTGATAAAATTAAGGGATATAAATAAAATTCGTAAATCCAACAGTTTCTTCTTTCACCAGTGTAAAAGCAGAAAGACTCCTTGGTAATCTCCCCCAAAGAAATAACACCTGTGTGTTTATTTTTACAGCCAATCTGTATTTTGTGTTACTTGTAACAGTGAATGGAAAGAGAAATAAGATACTGTAAGGATAAAACAGCCCCATCCTTGGAAGTGTCCAAGGCCAGGCTGGATGAGGCTTTGAGCAACCTGGTCTAGTGGAAGGTGTCCCTGCCCATGGCAGGGGGGTTGGAACTAGATGGTCTTTAAGGTCCCTTCCAACCCAAACCATTCTGTGATCTACCTACTTTCCTTCATGACGGAGGAAGGTGAGGTATGATACAGATTTGGAAACGGCTTTAAAAAGACACCAAGCAGACACGGAAGTTCTTGAAAAGAGTGAGTTGTGAAGGAAGTGGAGACTGTGCACGTGTTTAGCTCTGTGTTCTGCAGTAGAAGAAACCTTCTAGGACAAAAGTAGAGAATGTAGCAAAACCCATCAAATTGTAAGATCTGGTAGCTGAGGATGCTTTTGCCATGTCTTTGCTACCTATCCAATTAATCAGAAAGGATGCTAAGATTTTACTGGCATTAACTGAAGTTTTTAGAAGTACTGACGATGTAGCAGAAGTGAAAACAAAGCTTGTTCTGTGTGAGGCAGCCCTCCTCCTGTTCTCTGCAAGCAGAGAATATTGTAGGTTTGTCCATTAAATTTAACTAGTTTAAATTATTACTGCTGTTGATTTAAAATGTCTAAACAGCATTTTTTCAGTAAATTTTAGTGTTTTCCTAAATTAAACTTATCCTAAAATCCTTAAGCTTTGTGGACTGAAGTTGGAGAAGACCTGGTGAGTTAATGTATGAGACTGTTGGAATGTAAAGCTGAACAACATGAGCTCTTACAGCTCAAGGAAGTAGAGCTAATGAATTTGACTTGTTGGTATATCCATGTTCACTGTTTAAATCTTTGGTTTTTTATTTCAAATTGTGCAAAAGTTTATTAAAGTGCAGATTTGCGAAGCGGTCGCACGGGGTGTGCTGGGAGCAGACTTTCCATCTAGAAGACACAACGTATTTAGTCCGCAGTCTGAAAGTCCTGCTGTTCACGTGGCAAAACCTCTCCCAGTGCTGCCTGTAACGAAAATGGAAATCAAGAACAGAACCGTTGTTTTTCCAAGAACAAGACCTGGCCGAAGCTCAGGTAATATTGCTTACTTAGTAAATGCAGCTTCTGCAGGCTCTTACGTTGGGAGTTTTGGTTCACTGTATGGCGTGTCTGGGGACTCGAGTGCCTTGACTTCGTTTTTGTTCTTGTGGTCTGGTAAGTGTGATCGACCAGTTCACCCTTTCTGACTTCAGGTTGAAGTGTTAGGCCTCGTGATGGAACTCTTTTACAGAATTCCTTGTTCTGTGTCTGGGCTAAGTGCACTCTGAGGTTATTGTGTTTTGTTGAAGCTCTTCTGGGTCAGTGCGCTTTCGCAGTAGACCCCTTCTCCTCAGCTGTGTATGTGTCGCTAAGACACGAGGTAAATCTAGCTGCATGTAGCAGAGAAGTAAATGCTCCCTCTTAAGACGATAGGTAATGAGGATTTTTTTTTTTTTTTAAATGATTCACTGAAGCTACATTTTTCTTTAACAGACTTTAGAACTTTCAAGGCTTAACTTACCAGTTGTATATGAGGTTTTTTTGTACAGGTAGGAAAGAGTATATCATACTCCTTTCCTATTTTTAAAGATGTCCCTTATAATATATATGATGCTAAACTAACTGAAGTGCTGCTCAAGACTCAGATGACCTTAGAAATGGGCTGTTGATTCTTGGCAAGAGACACATTTCAGGGGGTGAAGTATGCGTATGATCCTGTCAAAAATTGGATTTTCTGATAACGTTGGTGATTTGCTGTTCTTTCTGCAAGTCAAGCATAAGCATTTCATTGGTGTTAATATGTGTATACATACATTATGTGTATATCTTGTCGTGGTTTAACTCCAG